TCGGTTGGTAAGAGCGGTCACATGAGGGGAATATTCAGCTGGAGACTCGGTTGGTAAGAGCGGTCACATGAGGGGAATATTCAGCTGGAGACTCGGTTGGTAAGAGCGGTCACATGAGGGGAATATTCAGCTGCGCACTCCCAGACTTCACACTACTTTCACAGCAAAATCCATTCAGGCTGCCTACTCCAGCCTTTCAGATCCAGTGCTGGATTCTGCAACCTGTTGTTCCCCTGGCCTCTAACCATAAGTCATGGCAAGATGGTGCTGGGGCTAAACAACTCATACACAGGACAGGATAACTGCCGGACAATCCTATAGGTGACATAGAACAGGCCGCCTAGGACGCCAACCTATGAGGATGTCCTGACTTGCCAGCCAATTCCAATTTGCCTTTAATGGGGGGGGGGGTGCCAATGGCGATGCTCATCCGGGGGAGACACCATCTAGGACCGGTACTGAAGCCAGCCTGGGTTGCCATTCACAGCAGAAGTTGTATTTCATAACTTGCTCCCCCTATAGTTCTATTATCATTATGAAAACATACGGGTGACGCCAGCAATTTAAATTTTAAATAAAGGTATTAATTTCGCTGTGAAAACAAATTCAAGGGCATACCTGTATAAGTTAAAACACACACAAAAACTACCATCATCATCCATTCTAAACTTTAAACTACAAAGACGATATAGGCTACACACCATGAACATTAATGTACTTCAATCCTAAGCCCTGTGGGGGCCTGAGTGGTGGGGGGGGAGGGTTATAAATGAGTGGGGGTTTTGAAAGTGGATCAATGAAAAACATATCTAGTATACGTTATAGGTTATGGTAATTCACTGAGGATGCGGGAACGTGTCAGTGCTAGTTCACAGATTTTTTTCTGAGAATCGACAGCCGACAAGAATATGAACTTTATTTGGAAGAAATAGTTGAACTAAACCATAGCATAGCATAAATGAAGTTTAAGTTATTACGAGTGAAAATGCCGAAACCAAAAGACATCATGGTATGTAAAGGCCGCCACCGTAAATTGGTAACGGATCCGAACTCCTATTCATCTCAACTCCTGTGTTACCACCAGTCTCTATATACAGTATATACTCTTCTTCTGGACAACAGTTAACAGGGTTAGCGTGTTACACACAGTCCGACACGGTGACAGTACTAAAATGTGGATGCAATATGAGCCATAGCCTTCACAAACGAATTCAAATGTGCTGGACGTATTTTAAACGATGACTGAATTTTGAGTATGTTGGCGCTCCTTTTAGCGTCTTCATAAACTTGGGGTTCGGCAAAAAAAACAGTCCGGACGGTACTCGGTGGTTTTCTTGTCAGCCTTACACCGATCTGGGGCGGGGGGCTCATAAAACGTAACGTTACAGTCGCAACACATTAAAAAAAAAAGGCTCAAGGGGCGCGCGGCTTCGCAGTGATGATACGAACGCGCGGTGCGCGAGCGCATCGGCGCAGTTCGAGCGCGCGCGTAACGGCTACGACTCGGTGCGTTTTTACTCCATTACAATATTGCACAGCAGCCTGTCGTGTACGTTTACCCCACGGACATACACAGCATCATGAGGGGGATTTAAACTAGCATATAAACTGAAGTGTACGGAGCTCACATTTGCACCAAGCAGTAATTAAAAAAAATCACAGCGATGCGCAAAATAATCCAGCATGAACTCCAGCAAGCTTTGCGCTCAAACAGTTATTTCCTTTATATCGATTGTTTGTTTAGCACTGTACATATGCGCATTAAAAACGTACCTTTCTCCCTTAGTCTGAATGCCACGCGTGGAGCTGTTCAGCTGACAGCTCAGTAGCGGACCTTCCTCTGTATTTTATACTCTGGAGTAGCGGTAGTATTATTTCTCTCCCTTCCAGTGAAGATGTGGTCTTAAAGGCTGGATGTAACGTCACTTGCTGCAACAGCAAATCCAATGAACAGAAAATCGGTTTATACTGAAGTCGTCAACGAGAAGAGGGCATTTGCCTATTTGGCTGGAAAAACATCCACTCAAAGTAGCACCCGGTGATACTCGTGAGGCAAAAATATGTTTAGTTAGTATCTTGAGAACAGATTATTTTCTGTATATTGGTATCTCGATTCCTCCTAATTGTATATACGCTGATCGCTTCGACACACGCTGGATCTAGAGCCGTGTTTTCGTACAGCATCTAGACTTTGGTCCTTAACTGGCTAAGTAGGAAAAATGAAATGAAAGATGTCCAAGTATGGTCCAGGTGAAACGGTTTTAGCCGTGAATTCCTCGAAACCTTCTGTAAGGCGGTAGAATAACACTATCGACGCTCCCCGTTTCTGCAGTAAACGCGAAATCAGCTCAGTAAACACGCGAAGCAACTGTAGATAACATAGTGTACTATTAGGCTTAAAAGACACGGCTTCGAGGTTACAGTTACATTGCTACTTTCGTTTTAAACCAAGTAATGCTTGTCGCCTATTTTTATTTCCTCTATTTAATTGGATAAGAGACAGTCACGCCTAACGCACTCACCGCTTTGCCTCTACTGCAATGGTTATAATGTAACAATCACGCAGCATTAAAACGGTGAGCTGCTTCTCAATCATAAAAGAAACAAGTTTCCAGCATCCGTTATTCAGACATCAATGTCCAACACTATTATCTCCGATTGCACTTTTTGTTCAATTTAATTTACGAAGACTAAGTGGTTTATCATATTAGAAAAATCACCCACGTCTGCTGCCCTCAGTCAGCGAAGAGAAGGTTCGTCCTTCTGTTAATCGCAGATGACAGGTAATGAACTAATTGTGAGATGCACATAATGCATAACACAGACACATAACGTGGCAGAAAAAAAGTTCACGAAATCGTCATGTCGCAAAGTGAAAAGATTTTATTAGCGCGATACCAAATGACCAGTGCGCTAACATTATGGACCAAGGGGGGCAATTAGTTTTATCTCCATAAGAACCTAGCTACTTTCTAGATATCAGATACAATAGAGAGATATAGTGAAAAACGACTATAGTTATTAATAATAACATTATTATTATTATTATTAATATTATTATTATTATTATTATTATTATTATTATTATTATTATAAATACTTTTTGTATGCCCGACGTTGATCCGGGGAAATCAAATACTAGCTATGGATAAATCCTTTCCTTCCCTGGTAATTTAGAATAAATCTCACTTTCCACTGAAGGCAATAATGGGAGATAATTTGACGGAGCAGACATATATCAGAAATATAATGGCATGATTTACAGCTAGAGTAGAGATACGGTCCCTCCTTCTGTTCACCTGTAAAGTTCTCAGAAGCAGAGCCGTCCATCTGACCTGCACAGCCAGCCTACCGGAGAGGTTTGATGCCATCTCTGTGTTATCTCATTCCTGCAACAAGGTTGTTCAGCTTGAAACACGTGTACTCTGACTGCCTTTAGCAGAAAAGCACACATTACCAGAAAGTGAAATATCTTGACAGGACCTGTGAGGGTGGAAGAAGCATCTCACAGTTACATATCATAGGAGTTCAGTTACATTTTTGGCAGAATTTTTTTACATGCCAGGAGTTTAAGAAGAAATGTTAATGGTTGGTGTGTGTGTGTGTGTGTGTATTTTACTACGAGCAAACGTCACATATATTTGCAGATCTATTCTGGAATTAAAGGAAAGGCTATTCCTACCAGTGATCTGACCAGTGCAATACTGCTAAAATGATAATTTTACATCTTTGAATCAGTTCCAAGTACATTAGGAAGAGGCATGTCTCTATAAAAGGCATCTACATGCCTGGATAAATGGACCATTCCTAAATGGCTCACGAGGTCCAGGAGAGTGATCCTAAAGAACTGATGTGGATGTAAATAAACATGCCTGACCCCAGTGAAAACACGTTCAAATACAAAGATTGCAGCTAAATTTATCACAGGGCCACATGCTGCAGACCCGCACCGAGCCACAGCAGAGCCCCTACACCGAGTGAAGCTTTAAGTGGACGGGCTCGCTGTTGACGTTTCCATAGCAACGGACCACAGCTTCCTCAGCTCTGCATGGGTGATCGGTAGCGCGGCCGCCCCCAAATTCCCAATGTCGCTCAGGCCGAAGCTTAAGAACACACATTGGGTCAGCACTCCATGCTCATAGCGGCCCTTCAGATCCTGTGTCCAGTTCATAAGCGCCGTCGAACACTGTGATGCGTTAGGTCTGCCTGGTGCCGTGTGGGTGTGCGTGAGCGAGTGTGTGGGTGTGAGTGTGACTATGAGGGTAAGAACATGGGGGTGTGAGTAATGGGCAGAGCAGAGGCTTCTAAGGCAATTAACCTTGGCTTCTTTTCATCTTTCCTGAAACATTTCTTATCTTTTTCCATCATGGGGCAAATATTGGCAGGACAAAATGCCCCAACAAGCCATTTCCATAAGTCTCCACTTTATACATTTTAATTGAACATTATACGGCATCCCCCCCCCCGAAGAATTAGAGTACACACTACAGGAGATATTATAGTAATTTTGTGAATCAGTACAACTCTTGAGCTGCACTCCACCTGGTCCGCTCAGTGTAAGGTCATAGCTTGGTGGCCCTCCCCTACTTCCCTACTAAACTAAAACTAACACTTTTCCATTGTAAATTATGTGAGCCGTGCTTGAACCATAATGCTCTGACGTGACCCTGCATGGCCCAAAGCGTGACCGTACTGATTGGTTTGGTTGTGTCACCACCATCTGATTGGTCGAAATTGCACAGAGATTTTGGTGCTCGGTGTTGATATGCATGGATTATCTGAATATATATTCTATATATTGTTCATTATTAGTAGTATCACAATGCATTGATGCATTCCTGATAACTGTGACCATTAAAATTTCCAACCACCTACTTAAAAAGTACTATACTACCAGCTGAACGGAATGGATTCGTAATGCAAATTTCCAGTAGCGAATGCCAATTCCAATGGCGTTTGATGCTGAAATATAATGGCGATTCTCACAGACTTGCTAGCAGAAATTAGCGCATAGTAAATCATGATGTACACCTTGTGAACAATAAATGTCTCTTCAGTTTTATGTCACTGTCGCTCTCCAAACCTGGCAACACCTTTACTGAACCGACCCTTCTGCAGTGGAAAACCGAAGTGAGCTGGAACCGTGCCGTAACTTGTGTCTCTTTGTGGTATGGCACGGGTACGGCTCGGTTCCTGTATGCCAGTGGAAAAGCGCCAAAAATGAACAAACACCATTTTGACTGTAGAGTGGGTGGGCATTTTTGGAGTCTACAAATAGCTCAGATGCAGAGGACCAGGGCAGATTGGCATTCAGCTGACAGAAAGGGGCTTGACTTCCTAGGAATTAATTTCCCCCTTCAGTTTGTGGTTCCATGAGTCCCTTAATGTCACAGCAACATAAAATGGTCCCCAGTGACCTTTGACCTTGCATCCCACGGCCACGTTGGATCTTGTTCCCACATCTCCAGCAGTAGCTTTGCAAATTCTATTTCCTGGGCTATACAGGGCACACGGACTGGGAACAGACACCTCCACTTAACTTGGGGTCCAGCTGAGAGGAGCACACACTCCTGGGGGGTGAGTCAGCTCTGTGAATCACTGCATTCATCTCAGCCCCAGAGAACAGCACTGCCATCCAGCTCCTTCCGGTCATCTGGAGCCGGGTCCACGTTCACTCAGCTGAGCTCGTACCGGCGTCCTCCCCAGCCTGCTGGCATGCGGACGCCACTCCCTCCTCCCGTGTTGGCGTCCAAGTTCCGGGCTCGCTGAGAATTAAACAAAAGGCTCCGAGTTGTGATACAGCTCTTTGTGAGCCAGCTGGCCAGCGGCCGCATGAATTCGAGCGCACGACGTGGGAGAAAATGCGACCATCATCAGCAAGGTCACAACAAATATGGAGAAGGGACACAGCTTTGGCTATACAAAATGTAAACTTGAGAAGAAAGACGTTATGTCTTGCCAGGATTATTATTATTCTAATTTTACACTTTGAGTAATAACTATTGATTCTTGTAGTAAAATAATAAACTTGTAAAATATCTTGCCTTTGTACGTTTAAAATACATTATTTTGAAAATGAATCACTAAATGATGACTTGCTGTGTTATTTTTTGAAGACAGCTATGATCTATCTGTGTCTGCATTTTGTGCGGTTTGGCATGCAAAGCAAAGTCAGATGACCAAAAAGCTGATGTCATATAGTTGTTGCCAAACATGGCGACTTTCCAGGAAGAGGCCAGCATGATTTCTGAAAGACCAGCTCCCACCAGTGTGTCCTGCATGCGTCATTTTAAAATGCACCGGTCTTGCTGCAGGCATGCATCCCTCCATTTGAGCCCGAGGAGATCCGACACAGAATAAACCATGCAGGGCATTTACAATCGGCTTGGTTGATTTAACTTTCCAGGATACTTAGCGCCATAGTTCCACTGATCAAACTGCACAACAGTCCCAGATGCCACTTTGAAATAACACAGACTTTTGCATGCTTTTCTAGGGAGTCTGGAGCAGCCAAATCCAGCATTCTGTTATTGGACCAAACTCCGTGCATTTTTTTTTCCCTTTGACAAACATCTAGTGCAAAGGGTCAAGTAATGTGTTATCTAGCCATAAAAACTGAAGCTGCTGAACTCTGTTTACAAAATAAGATATTTATGAAGATACGAAATCAGTCTGTGATGTATATTAATAAATCTGTATAAATATAATTGTGTGTGTTTCACAGCTGGTGTGTGCTCTGCCTCATTGCCTGTGCTTCCTGGGGTAAGCTTGAAGGTCGTGGAGGGTGACCTTCAGGATCTGATAAAAAGCTACGTTTTTGCATCATCTCTCCAGCTTAGTGTGAATTACGAGTTCTATTATATGTTAATTTCCAGGTTGAGGGAGATCAAAGCAATGTGTGATGCACCTGAGCCTACCCCTCCCCCCACCACGCTTCTGACCAGGGTGCTGCTGTTTGGGACCATATTCTCCACCAGGAATATGAAGCCAGCCCCCTACCCCAACCCAACCCACCCCATCGGCAAACCAGCCAGGAGCACTGAAGGCTGATGGGAAACAAACGAGACAGAGATTGGTGCACCGATCGAGCAAAGCGCATGGACAGATCATGAAGGAGAGGTTATGGTTCTCCAGTGCCTCCCCGGTAAATCTCCCACGTCTCAATTTGTCTGCCTAATCAGCATCCCGTGGCAACAATTTCCTGCCCTAACAAGCTAATTTGCATCTCTTATTTGTTTCTGGGGTCCAAAAATCACAGTCAACAATATCCGCCTTGGAGCGGATCATTGGTGTGTGTGGGTGTTAATATGGTCGACTTGTAGACATTTCTGGTCTTTTCAGCGAGTCTATCAATCGTCGCTTAACATTTATGCAGTGGCATTTGCAATGAAGTGATTTACATCCCATCCCTTCCACACCAATTTTTTCACCCAAACTTGGCTGATTTCATACAGTCATTATAAAGTTTTCATCACAATATTACCATGAAGGTGCAGCTGATCTAATCCTACTTTCGCAAATATTGGATTAATGTTTTCGCCTCATACACTGCAAAGTTTGTAACAGTATTCTAGGTTTGGAAGCCCTTTTGATAGCACGCTTTATAATACATTGATCAGATTATGGCGTAATATTATTTATAAGGTGGTCTCATGCCCGCTAGGTTATGGGTTT